TTCTTAAAATTTTTTTATTCTTTCCTTTTAAATCTTAAATTCAAGATGTCACCTGGGAGTTGAGCTTCATCGTGTCTCACGGGTTTTGATAAAAAGCATTTCCTATTTGTTATTTTCTGCCTAGTCTTTCATGTTTTATTTCCTTTTGTAGCCCAGTAATTACTTAGGAGAGGTTTCATTGATTTCCCAGTTCTTAGGCATTTTTTAGATTGTTTCATCAATAATTTCTGGTCACATTATATTGTGAAGAAGTATACAATTTCCACTTCATTAACTTTCTGGGATTGTCTTAGAAGTCTCAAACAGGATGAATTTGAGACTCATGCCACTTGTAGAAAAGGTATATATTCCCTAGATTCCCAGAAACCAAATTCAATATAGCTTATTCCATCCTATCTTACTAATTAATATATTTTCAACTTTTCTATGTCATTTATTTTTGGTTGTTTTCCATGTCTAAGAAGGAACACCTCCCACAAAACCCTTGCTGTTCTCCAGAACGCACTTCTCTCTCCCTCCCTCATTGGCCTCCCTTGTAGAATTCCCTCCCTGAGTCGGGCAGAGGGTAGATGGTTGGGGATGGGCCAGGGAAATCTGATGGCGTGAATTATTCTACGGATTTTCCTCTATCTCCTACCTCAAGCTTCATCCTTAATATCCTACAGACTTCTGAGTTATTATTCAGTCTGCAACTTGGATTCTCTGGACATAAAAATTAAACTTTCATCACTATCTTATGTGTCCATTAGCTTAAATCACTTATTAAGGAGAGGGGTTGCTTTTTATTCTGCAACAATGCATCAGTTACATGCATTGAACTGTTCTGTACTATTTAAAACTCCCTCACACAAAAAGAGATGAACTAAAAGTTGATCTTTTCTTGTCCTTATTCTTTTGTAGCCATATCACATCTTCTATGAGTGAATATGTGTTTTTAGAGGTAGAAACTTCAGCTGAGAGAGAGATAAATCAAGGCAATGATACATAAATATGTGCTCCTTATCTTAAAAAAATAAAAAGAAAGATGTGTTACATTATGTCTAGGCAATACCAAATCTATTATCTTTTGTAGTTAAATTTTATTATTTTATTTTCAAATCATGCTTATGGAGCTCTCTTGCTAAGCAAAAAGTCTTTCAAAACCACAGTTTTCATGAAAGACATACAGTAGAAAATGCTAACTTAATATTCATCTAAAGATATGTTGCACGGCAACAAAGCATCTCCAAGAACATAATAAGAGGATCTGGGGTTCTCAGGAGTGCATCTATTCACAAGAAAACTCCTTATTATCATTCCCCCATATCTCTCCAAAATTACCTCTTTGTTCTTCATTCTTTGTAAATTTTTGGGTGGTCTGCTTTCTCTTTTAAGTGGATGACAAAGTCATCTCCCCTCTAAACGAACAAAGTATCTGTAATACCATCTTCCTTTTCTTTTATTCGCTTGCTTAAATTTTTTACTTTTAAAGCATAGCTTTAAAAAATGAAACAACTACCTTGGGGAGCAATACTTTAAATCTCAAAACAATATCATTTAAATTTGATTCCTGCATCACTTACTTCCACGATCACTGTCTAAAGAACATCAAGAGTAGTAAACGTATTGAAAAACAAATGTTTAGCTCACAATTTTTCCTAATGAATAGAGATGATTTAATGATAAGATCTTTGATCTCATTCAACATTTATTTATCTAGAATACCAAAAAGGAACATCTATGCCCTATTTTGACAAAACTAGAGTTTGACTTTTTTCATTTTTTCTTTTGGTACTGGGGATTGAACTCAGGGGCACCTGACCACTGAGTCACATCCCCAGCCTTATTTTGTATTTTATTTAGAGACAGGGTCTCACAGAGTTGTTTATCACCTCGCTTTTGCTGAGGTTGTCTTTGAACTCAAAATCCTTCTGCCTCAGCCTCCCAAGCTGCCGGAAGGGATTACAGGCATGCACCACCATACCTGGTTTTGTAGGACTCAATTTTATTATTTACACCATTGGTGATTTAGATTAGATGACTTTAGATCTAAGGCCTGAACTGATGCTAAAATTCTATACATTGATCATACACATTCTTTTGGGTTGGTCATGGATATAACAGAAAAGTTTACTCAGCTATTCAAATCATTCCACATGACTTGTCCTTCTGAATAGTAGAGTTTTTCTATCAACCCTGAGGAAATTTTTGTCAAGCCTTTTTGTGTATGTGAACACACCAGAATATAGATGTCTCTGGCCAACCATGAAAGAGCTCATTGACTGTCTCTGAACTGGCAAATTCAAGACATGATTTGGTCTAGAAAACCTTGCATTTGTTAATGTTTTTAATTTTTCAACTTTGTTTCCTGATTCATTCCCTTAATTTTATCCTCACGAAGATTAGAGGAATAGGTATGGCATCTTATCAAAGTAGGAACTAAAATATTCATATATAGAATTGTCCAAAGTTGTATAGTTATTTAGTTACAGAACTAAAGCTCAGATGAGTTAACTCCAACCCCATTCTAGCTACACTGAGTTGCTTAGCATCTTGCTTAGCACATTCTGCCAGTTTAATTTACATTAAATCTTTTTTAAGTTTGTTCTATTTATTTATACACGACAGCAGAGTGCATTTCAATTCATTGTACACATGGAGCACAGTTTTTTATTTCTCTGGTTGTATGTGATGTAGAGTCACACCGTTTGTGCAATCATACATCATAGCTAGGATAACAATGTCTGTCTCATTCCACCATCTTTGCTGTCCCCATGCCCCCTCTCCTCCCCACCTTTGCCCAATCCAAAGCTCTTTTATTCTTCCCATGATCCTCCCTCATTATGGATGGATCAGTGTCCACATATCAGAGAAAACATTTGGCCTTTGGTTTTATGGGATTGGATTACTTGGCTTAACATGGATATTCTCCAACTGCATCCAGTTACTTGCAAATGCCATAATTTTATTTTCTACAAAATTACATCTTTGAATGTCATCTTGATGGGTTTTTTTTTCTTGATAAATTTCCAGAATATTTCAGAGGAGTTCATGTAACTCCTCACTGAAATTCAGTGAAAATTATCTTCACAGCAAGGGGAATGTATCTTTGCAGATGCTCTGACAGCTCCCTAGATATTACAACCACTATGAAGAATCTAGCAGAGGCGGCTGGGGTGTGGCTGGGCGGTAGAGTGCTCGCCTCCCACCTGTGAGGCACTGGGTTCGATCCTCAGCACCACATAAAAGTAAATGAACAAAATAAAGATACTGCATCTATATATAACTAAAGAATATTTAAAAAAAAGAATCTAGCAGAAAAGTGCACAAATTTTCCTGATTATTAGTGACTTCCTTTCCAACCTCAGAAAACCATTGAGCCTGGCTTCACATTTCGTCCTGTGATCAGACTACCAGTTAGGAATTGGGAAATTCATGAGACAGTCTTTCCTGGAAAACATGAGATGTCTCTTGTAGGCAAAATTGTACCATTGCATTTCTGTTCTTTTTTTTTTTTTTTTTGAGGTCAGTACACTGAGAACATTTAAATTTAAATCCTATATTTACGACTTGCCGGACATTTAACTGTGGGCAAGTAACTTACCTTCACTGGGCCTCAGATTCCTGAGATTAAAATCAGAAAGGCAATGTGATAATTCAATGAATTAACTTCTATAGAGCACCTACCAGACACGGTGTGCAGTAAGCAGACAGTTATCTTTATCTAAATTTATCATTCTATATTAAAATCTTGGAACAGCACCAGGTGCATAGTAAGTGTTCTCTAATTATGAGTATTTTAACTGTTCTCAAATTTAAAAAAAAACTAATGTTGGAAATGTTACTTTTATTTAAGAAAATTATTTAGAATTGTTCCATAGTATTAATGTATTTTATGAGAGATTAAAAAAAAAAACTTAAATTGAGTTCACCTCACCACCTGAAATAAAAATTTCTGGATGTAAAAATATATATTGCCATGATGTCATGGTCAATGTACTTGCTCAACAAAGTCCAGATCCTAGGGTAAAGTTCTATGTTTTCTCTGTCTAAATGGAGTTAAGAAGTCAGGAGGTCATATAAAATTTTCCTGGAAAAATAAATTACATAAGCAAACAAAATTGTAAAGGCTTCTCTGAATTTAAATAAAATGATCATGCCCAACAAAAAATGTTTTGTTTCTCTTGTCCCGTACTTCAATTTGTGGCTTGACCAATAATTGACCAAAAGAAGTCACTGGCCCCATAAACAAAAACTGCCTGGTTTTGGTTTAGGTAGACCCCTTTCACAACCATCACACACACTTAAGTCAACATTTGAGAACAAGCAGGATGAAGGAAGGAGAATGTTGAACCTTTGACAATTTTAACCGAACTCTTTGTCACTGACTAGCCAGGCCACCTGGGCAAATCCCTAAATTTCTCTAGTTCCACTTCCCTCCAGTATAACATTATCGTACATAATCTCTGTAGGAAATTTACTCCATAGGGATTTACTCCGTTAGCAAATCCCATTAGCCTTACTTATTGGCATGTACCTTAGTGATCAGAGCTTGGTTTAGTAGATGTGATTTAGCATCATTATGCGTTTCTAGCCTCAGTTTTTCTCTTAGTTCTTTGTTGATTTCCTTACTAATCTCTTGTTTTATCATCTGTAGGTCTGTTTTTAGGCAGTTTCTTTCATATTCTTTAGAACAGTTGTTCTTAAACTCTAGCCTGTATCAGAATCCCCTAATGGGCCTCCATCTCTAGAGAAACTGAATAGACCCATTTGCTTCACCACCTGAAATAAATTCTTCTGGATTTAAAAATATATATTGCTATGGTGCCATGGTCAATGAACTTGCTCAACCAAGTCCAGATCCTAGGGTAGGGCAGGGATAGGGTATACAATGGCATTTCTAACATCATCTCTTATGGGGTTGGATGCTGCTGGTCTAGAACCATTTGAAGACCACCACTCTACAGAAGATTAACATGTTGATGAAAATCATCTGAGGGCAATTGAATGCTAAAAGTTACCTCAATGTAACTCTGAGAACAGCTGCTCTGGCCTCCCAGCTCCACATGGGTGAAGTTAATTTGTATTTGCTCTCCCTGAGGCTGCTCTATAGAGTAGATGCATTGTCTTTTGTGAGCAAAAGGCCCAGACAAATCAGGAAGGAGGATCTCGCCTTCTGGCTCTGTGTAGAGCCCTCCACACTGCAGATCCGCTGAAGAGAACAGAGAAGAGAGAAGGAAGGGTCATGTGGATGGCTTTTGTTGTGGGTCCCAGTCATTGGATCCATTAAAAAAGAAATTAGACACACACACACATACACACTCCAAAAATACCCACTTAATTTATGCTGTACAGGCTTGTGCCTCTCACTATAAGATTTTCTGTTTGAAAAGTTTGCCAGATGTCCCTGCAATGCCTAAAGAAATAAATGTAGATATGCGTGATCAAACTTCCAATCCACTGTTCTTTCCTACAAATTGCTTTTCAAATATGTCAATACAAATGGAACCACCATTTGACCCAGCTATCCCACTCCTCAGTCTCTACCCAAAGAACTTAAAGTCAGCATACTCTAGGAGCGCAGCCACATCAATGTTTATAGCAGCTCAATTCACAATAGCTAAATGGTGGAAGCAACTTAGATGCCCTTCAGGAGAGAAATGGATAATATAGATAATATATATAGTATATATAAATGGTATGTATGCACAACAGAATATTACTCAGCATTAAAAGACAATAAAATTATGGCATTTGGTAAATGAATGGAGGTGGAGAATAGCATGCTAACTGAAGTAAGCCAATCCCAAAACAACAAAGGCCGAATGTTCTCTCTGAGAAGTGGATGCTGGTGGATAATGGGGGAGGACATGGGAAAAAATGGAGGAACTTTGGGAAAAGGTGAGGGAGGGGATTAGAGGGGATATGGGGGCAGGAAAGATGGTGGAATGTGATGGACATTATTACCCTAGGTACATGTATGACTGCACATATGGTACATTCTGTACAGAGAAATGAAAAGTTGTACTGCAATTGTGTACAATGAATCAAAATGCATTCTGCTGCTATATTCCTAATTAAAATAGATACATTTTAAATAAATAAATGCTCTGCTTCATTCCAAAGACAGGAGTTCATAATATATCGCAACAAAATAAAATATATAACCATATAAATAAAGCAGATTAAAGGAAAAATTAAAACAGCCACAGGTGGCCAGAGGGATGGTGGAGAAGCATAGAAAATAATTGTAAGGGCTATGGAAGTTAAGGGAGGTCAGCTGCAGTTTCAGCTTGACCTCAAAGTAAAGGGAGAAGGGGAACCCATGAAGATATTCATCATAACTCTTCCTGATACTGAGACTTAAAAGGTATTTTTTTCTAGGAATTCTCAAAAGGACACAATGATGCTGTCATGAACATGTCTCCAGCCTAAGAATAAAAGCAGAGAGCGTTTAATTTGTTTTGTTATTAGTTTATTTTAAGGTATCAGTGCAACTGAAGACATAGTAAGTAACAGTATTTCACTAGAAATGAAACTCTAGGGGCCTAGGACACTGCAGTCCTGAACACCAGCTCTTGTACAGCTAGACTTGATCCAAGGATAAAATCAGGCACAATCCCAGATAGACTCCCATTACTCACATGAACAACTTTTCTCATAACAAAATATCAAACATTAGAGAACCGAGGCTCTGAAGTACTGAATATTAGGTGCTTGTTCATCTCTGTCATGATTGTGGATCCAAGAATTTAGGGACTAAGGAGTATTGCAGTATGAATAACAGAGCATGAGAAAGATTAAAAAAAAAAAAAGAAGAAGAAGAAGTCTGGAGCTATGGGAGAAATACAAAGTCCCTTCACTGGTCTAAGAAAGTCATCTTTAGTACCACCTTAAAATATAAAATGGCTATAAACCATAGCATCATCCTTTAAATGTGTATGAAGTTCCCAACAGGTGGGATACTTACAAGGTGATGTTAAGTAGGTGATATGGAAGCCTTGGTCATTAATTAGGAGGTCAGAATGGAAATGGATTCTGGCAAAGGGACCTGTCGTTTGGAGCGGTGGGACAGAGAGTGTGGTACAGAACTTCCCAAGAACAGGGTCCTGATGCAAAGGACCATCTCGAATCTAAAAAAAAAAAAAAAAGAGTAAATCATTAAGGTCAAAATGGTCAACTTAAAAAAAAATGGCATTCTGTACATTACCTACAGAAAATCTTTCATTTAAAAGTGATAACTCCAAGGAGTCTCCCTTTCTCCTTTCTGTGGAAGTCTACCACACAAAGAACTAACACATGGTTGGGGTTCAGTAAAAAACATTTTTCCCCTGTCACCTCAGATGCCTCATCTTCTGTCTAAATGTCAATACCAGGGCTAAAATTACACATAATTTGGACTTTTCTCATGATGTTACTAATGTCAGTGTTTTCTTTCCTAGATTCCTCATCCTCCCCCATCCCCAGGTATTTGCTTTTAAATGATAAAGTCCCAGTAATCTAGAAAAAGAACCTGAATATGTGTAAAGAAAAAAAGAGAAGAAATGCTACTGAAGTCAACTGATTCACAATAGAAAAGGAAGTACAGTCTTATTGGACATGACATAGAGATGGCTTAATGAACTTAATGAATTTAAAAAGTGCAATTTGATAGTAATTAAATACCACAATATTGACACTATTTTCTTAGATGTTTTTAATTGTTGGTTATTACTACATTAGATAATTGTGTTGGCCTCTTTATGTCCTGTTGTCATTGCACAGTCTGTATTGTGTCAAACACCAAGGAGGGAATGAGCTAAAAAAAATACTTTTATGTGGTTAATTTCATCCATTCAGATTATTTTTTCCAGCAAATTTATAGGATTTTATATTGATCTTGTTCCTTGAAAATTGTAGCTTGGTAGTAAATGAGAGACATTTCAATATTGTCCAAATGATTGATACTTTCTAATACACGCTACCTAGGAATTAACATATCGGAATTTTTAAAAGCTTCTGATTTAACTTGATGGAATTTATTGAATATGAATTTCAGATAATTCACTTTTTCCTGTCAACATTGAAAAGGTTATTTTGCTAAAATTTTCCAAAGAGAAGCAGATCTTCCAGTCATTTCTGAAGGTTTCAGATCTATATTACTAATGACTGCTAAATTACTAATGACTTCAACTTGTGGAGACCCTTTTTGACAGCTGCATCCTTCTATCCTTTATGAATAATTCCACAGCACTCCACTCTTCCCTAATGGACTCAGAAAAGCTTATTGTCTTCTTAGCACTACTGCAAAGGGTACTGAGATTTATGGTGTCGAAAAATACAAGAACAGCCTAAGAACTCAATCTTCTCCATGATCTATTCTGTCTACAAATGGAGAGTAACATTTTTGATGTACCTATACGCATAGGGCATTTAAACATAATAGCCTTTTCCCTCCTCCATATTTTAACCTTGGGAGGCAGGTGGGGCTCAGCCCGACTTCTCCCAAATAATTTTCATTAGTTTTCAGTAAGATTTACGACTTATCAACTCATTTCAATGCAGTCCCTATTAAACTTATTTTTCTTCATGAAACACTATATTCAAGTTGTGAAATACCCTGCTGGTTTACCATGACAACGGAAGAACTGAATCTGCATTGGAGGAGACACCATTACTTAGTGTTTATTTCATTAATTCTGCTATTACCCCACCAGGGGCCTGTATTTCCAGCAAAGGACAGAGGAAGGCAAGGCAATCTATTTCCCAGATTTAAATGGAACCCAGAAGCAGCAGCAAAAAATCCACAGAAATGAGAATAGGGACCTAGCAAGACTTAGACATTGGCTGCCTACTGAGAAAAATATCTAATTACTGCTAATGAATTGGGGTCATTCACCGGCATCAGTAAACCACAGTGCCCTGAGTCCTAACCATAATATGTTCTCTCTAAATATGATTGTTTACCTCCAGGTAATCTTTGCTACAATCATCGTGGTCCTCCAGGCTCAAGGTCCCAAAAGCAAATGTTATCAGGAGTCCAGGACTTGTTAAAACATGCCACACACAATCTCTTCCTGGGGGGTAGTTTCCAGGATACCCCGGAGACTTGATAGAACCATAAGTACCAGTCACTGTACCTCCACACTCTAAAACAAGAGGGGACAATAACTTTACATTTGTATACAAGTTATAATTCATGTAGAATTGTCATAGCCACTGCTATAAGAATCTAAACTTCATTTAAATAACTATGAGCAGTTTTGGATACCCTCATAAATTAAACAAGACCTTCAGTTTTCCAGTTTCATAAAGTTATAAATCTAGAAGTATCAACTAATAAATAAATGAATCACCCATATGCTGTTCTATGCTTATAAGCCATCATACAGTAATACAATTAAAATATAGTGCTGAACCCTCAGAGGGGTGAATAATGGGAATGAAAATTCATATCTTTCACCGCTCAAGAGATTTATTTCTATATATTAACTCTGAGAAAACTGGAATTTCTATTGGCCCCTATGTGTTTCAACAATTCAGATTACTTTATATTTTAAGATAATTAAGCAACATATAATTTTCATGTGAGAAGGTTCCTTAACACCACCTTATAGTGAAGTCATTCATTTTACAAATGAAGACATTCAAATGTAAATGGTGATTAAGCCATTGGCCCAGGAATGGAGCAAATAGGGAACTGAACCAGACTGTGAAACTGACCCCACTACCACCCCTTTACACCACAGCTCCTTAACTGGCTGAGCAATGACTGGAAGAATCTTTTTTTTTTTATTAATACCCACATTTATTTAACAAAGAATTTGTGGTGAATTATAGTAAATGCTACTGTAAAATTAAAAAATGGAAATACTAAATAATATAGACTTCAGTAAGCATGTTAAACGAAAATGACACTTTACACATACTCAAATTATGCAACCTCTGTGGACAGCATGCCACATTTTATCTAAGAGAAAAAAATATGATTATTTGCTTAAGTTTTTACATTGAGGGATAAATCTGAACAGTTACTTAAGGGAGGAAAGAATAGGGTGGAAGGGAGAGGGTTGGAAGTTAGACTTCTTTACATCAACCATGAGTTTTGATTTGGTTTTGGCACTATGAACAGGCTTTAAATAATCATAAAGTAAAATGTAATATAAATAAGAAAAGAAATCTCTAAAATCATAAGCAAAATGAGACCAATTTAATAAGTTCGTTGAACTGACAAGTTAACTGTGAAGAGTAGAAATATGAGACTTTAAAACACTGTAATTTGACTATATGTCCCAAGTAAAATGTATCTCAAGTATAAAATAACAATGATAATATATTAGATGATTTTCAATTATGTTATTCATAATAATATTGGCACTATTATTTTTGAAAAGTTGTGGAATTAAGTATGTATATAGATAACATGTTAATGTTCTTGGGAACCAAATTTTTAGTATATGAGAGAAGAGGTTCAATGTAAAGTGAAAATGAAACCCTGTAATATCAATATTCCAATATGTTGTAGGAACACTGTGAGTACATGACCAATATGATTCTGCAACATGTATACTCAGAAAAATGAAAAATTATATCCCATCTATGTATGCAATATCAAAGTACATAAATGCATCCTACTGTAATGTATAACTAATTAAAAAAAAATTTAAAAATTAATTTTAAAAAACTGAAAAAAGTATTTTCTACTCCTGATTCCTGAAAGGTATAGAGACAGACTCACCTAGCAACAGTAGGCACTCCTAGCAACGAGGCAGTGGGCTCTAAATATCATTTCCTATTGAAAGAGTAAAATCTCTTTATGGCACTAGTTGGTTCTAGTCCAAGACAATAAATGTATAGGAAGGCCTGGAACATCTTTTTAAAACAGAAAGTAAACTTTCAGAGGTAATTTGACCAAAAAGCCTGAGAAACTAACTAGAAAAAATTCTCACTAAAAAAATATGGAACAATTGAACACTATTTAAAATCAGAATGAATTAAACCATCTCAAATATAAGCAAAAAATTAATTCAAAGATACCAAAACAAAATAAAATGGAATTAATTGATCATTTTAAAGAAAGCTAGGGAACTAAGTCATTAACTTGAATACCCAGGGGATAATGAAAGGATCAAGAATTTATCCTACATTTCCTATATGATATGTATGTGGAAGTAACAAATAGTTGATATGGAAAAGATTTATTCCATTGGAGAACTTCAAAGACTAAATAAATAAGAAATGACAAAATTAGAATATTATTTTGTCATGAAGTCTTTACATGGTGAGCATTTTTAAACACCAGATTGGACATAGCAGAAGACAGGATTAAAGTACCTAAAGACATTTCAAAACAAAATAACCAAATAGCATAAAGAGTGAAAAAAAATTGGAAGGGGAGGATATAGAAATATGAGAGTTGTGAGACAGAGTCATAACCTTACTGCATGTGTCATTTCAATCCCAAAAGGGAAAGAGAAGAAAATGACAAAGGCAATGTTTGAATAAATATTGGCTGACAATTTTCTAAGTGAGTAAAGGAAATCAACTCACAGACTCAAAACTCAAAATGACTCCCAAGCAGAATAAAGACCAGGAAAAATTAACCTAGAGAGCCCATAATCAAACCCCAAATTAACACAAAAAAAAAGGCAAAGAAGAAAAGCAAAAAGGCAGAAACAGAGATGGGGAAAAGATATATTATACTCAGAGGAAACAACATAAAAATTATTGGTGACTCTCCAAAGAGAAATCAGGCAAGTCAGAAGACAATGAAATGCTATGTCTAAATGGCTGATAGAAAGTAAACTGTCAACCTAGAATGCTATATGTGATAATATTCTTCAAAAACTAAAAGGAAAAAATTCATTCCCAGACCATCAAAAGCTGAGAGAATGTGTCCGTGGTAGACATTTTGCATTTGAAAGAGTAAAAGATGTTCCTTAGATTGAAGAAAAGTGATGAGAAGTAAAATGTAAAATTGTCTGTTTGCAAATGACATAATGTTACATATAAAAACCTTAGAGACCAAAAAAATAAAAAATAAATAAAAACCACTTTAGAATCAATAATTAAATAAGTTGACAAACTATCTCAGTACAGCTGCAGGGTACAAAAATCAGTTTCATTTCTGTACAGCAACAATGAACTATCAAAAAAAGCAATTAAGCAAACAATACCATTTATAATAGCATCCAAAAAAGTATGTGGAATGAATTTAACCAAAAATGTGAAAGATCTGTACAATAAAAATCAGAAAATATTGATAAAAGAATTGAATAAGACACAAATACTTGGAAAGATACCTATGTTCATGGATTAGAAGATTAATATTATCAAAATGTCCACACTATCCAAAGTGATTTACAGATTCAATGCCATTCTTATCATAATTCCAATTAAACCTAGGTGTAAGAAATAAATATTTGATAATGGGGAAGGGAGCATGGGAAGAAAGGAGGAACTTTGGATACGGCAAAGGGGAGGGAGGGAAAGGGAGGGGGCAAGGGGGTAGGAATGATGGTGTAATGAGATGGATATCATTATCCTAAGTACATGTATGAAGACACGAATGGTGTGACTCTACTTTGTGTACAACCAGAGACATGAAAAATTGTGCTCCATTTCATCTCCTGTCATGTATAACTAATTAGAAAAAAATAAATAAATAAATTGTTTTTAAAAAGAAGCATTTTAAACATTGAGAGAAAGGAAAAAATAAAATAAATACACAGAGCAAAAATTGTAAGAGCAGAAAGATACACAACTCTATAATCATAGCTTGAGATTTTACCATACTTCTTTTACGACTAGAGAAAACATCTTTCAAATTGTTAAATAAATATAATAGTTGAACAAACCTATTGACCAACTTGGCTAAGTTGACATATATAGATGACCCATATTGCACCACTGCAGAATACCTATTCTTTCTTGTCTATATGAGAAGTATGCCAAAGTAGAAAATACATTAGTCCATCTAAACAAATCTCAACAAATTTCAAAAGATTGAAATGATATATTGAAAGATTAATGACCACATTGGTCATTAAATAACACATTTTTAATAAAACTACAGTCACAGAGAAATCAAAATAAGAATGAGGAAATATTTTAAGCTGAATGCCAATGAAAACACACATGAGATACAGAAAAAAAAACAATTCTCAGAGAAAAGGTATAGCTCTAGTGCATATAATAAATGTTTTAAAGGTTGAAATTACATCAATGCTTCTAAGTAAAGAAGCTGGGAAAAATTAAAAAAGGTAATAGTAAGTACTATCCCATTCACAACAACCTAAAAAAAATACTTAGGAATAACAAGAATATGAAAGACCTCTTTAATGAAAACTGTAGAATACTGAAGAGAGAAATTGAAAATATCTTAAAAGATGAAAAGACTTCCCATGTTCTTGAATTGGCAGGATTAATATTGTCAAAATGGTCATATCACCAAAAGTGCATACAGATTCAGTGCAATCCCCACCAAAATACCAATGACATTCTTCACAGAACTAGAAAAAAAAAGTTCTAAAATTCAGTTGGAAGAAGAAGACATAGAATAGCTAAAGCAATCCTCAGCAAGAAGAGAAATACAGGAGGCATCACAATACCTGATCTCAAATTATACTATAGAGCTATATACTAAACAGCATGGTATTACCATGAAAACAGGCATGAAGACCAATAGAACAGAATAGAATTCAGAGACAAATCCACAAAAATAAAGTCATCTGATACTTGACAAAGGTGCCAAAAATGTACAGAGTAAAGATAGCCTTCTTAAAACTTATGGGGAAAAGATAGCCTTTTTAACAAACAGTTTTAAAAAACCCTGGATATCCATATGTAGAAGAATAAAACTAGATTCCTATCTTTCACCCTGTACAAAAGTAAACTCAAAGTGGATCAAAGACCTAAGAATTAGATTAGAGACTTTGCAACTGCTAGAAGAATACAGAGGCTCAACACTCCTACAAGCAAGCACTGACTTCCTTAACAAGAACCATAGAGCTCAAGAAATAAAACCAAGAATCAGTAAATTGAGATGGACATCAAATCAGAGAGCTTATGCACACAAAGGAAATAATTAAGAACAGGAAGAGAAACTGCAGAATGAAAGATCTTTCCAGCTGCTCCTCCAACAGGGGATTAATATCCAGAATATATAAAGAACTCAAAAAAACTTATTATCAAAAAGATAACAAAATCAATAATTGAAGAAAAGAACTAAACAGACACTTCTCAGAAGAAGAAAATCAAATAGCCAGTAAATATATGAAAAAAAAAGGTGTTCAATATCCCTAGCAATCAGGGAAATGCAATCAAAACTACTGCAATGCCATCTCACTCCAGTTAGAATAGCAGTCATCAAGAACAAAAATAATAATAAATGCCAGTGAGCATGTGGGAGAAAAGGTACACTCATACATTGTTGTTGGGCTTGAAATTTAGTACAATCATTTTGGAAGGCAATATGGAAACTCCTCAAAAGGCTAGGAATGGAACCATGATAGGACCCAGCAGTCCCACTCCTTGGTATTTATCCTAAACACAGCATACTATGGTGATACAAGCACATCCATATTTATAGCAGTACAATTTTATAAGAGCCAAGTTATAGAACCAGTTCAGGTTCCCATCCACAGAGAAGGGATAAAGAAAATGTGGTACATATACAAAATGGAGTGCTACTCAGCCATAAAGAACAATAAAATTATGGCATTTGCTGATAAATCAACAGAACTGGAAAACACCATGCTAAGTGAACTTAAGTCTGAGTCTGGTTTATATGTCATTTAGCATATAAAAGGAAAATAAAAGAAGGTGGGTAAAATGCCAACAAAACAGAAGAGAGATCAATGGAGTAGAGGAAAAGAATAGAGGGGGATGGAAGAGAGATGGGAAAAGGAAGGAACTGCAAAATGAAATTGGCCAAATTATACTATGTCCATATATGAATATATCACAGTAAATTTCACCTTCATGTATATCTATAAAGTATCAGCTAAAGAAAAAACAAATAGAAGAAAGACCAGTAGAGTAGAGGAAGGGGAACATGAGGAGGGAGGAAGGGAGAGAAAGAGGAAGTCATAGGGATTAAAATAGAACAAATTGTATTCCATGCATGTATGATTATGTAAAAATGAATGCCAATATTATGTAAAACTATAATGGAATAATTAAAATCTGTGAATAAACAAATTTACATGCTAAAAATAAAGGTAACAGTAAGTTAAGGTCCCCAAAAAAAATTAAGGGAAGAAAATGATAAAACCAAGAATAAAACTCAATGAAATAAAATTCAATAGAAAACATTGACAAAGCTAACAGTACTTTGAAAAGATGAGTGAAATCAATCCTAGTAAGACTGATGAAGGAAAAAGATAGCATAAATTATCAATATCAGGAATGAATAGAGAGGACATCAATATAGACCCTATAAACACTAAAAGATAGTGTAAAAATATTATGAAAGAGTAGATTAAATGAGTGAGTTTGAGGGGAAAAAATTACCAAAACTGAAAAAAAAAGTATGCACAGACATATACGTGTATATATAAACTAAATTTAACTCACAATTTAAATCTTCTCACACACAAGACTTCTGTCTTAACTAACTTCATGGTGAACACTTAAGGAGGGAATATTGTCAATGTTACACAAATACCTTCAGAGAATATAAAAATTAGGAACACATTTGATTTTAAATTGTCACTATTACAACTTGACAAGGAAATTACAAGAAAGGAAAATTATTAGGCAATCTCTCTCAAATATAGGTATAAAATTTTGAAAAAGAATATATTTGCATATCATATCAGGTCATATATTAAAAGAATAACTTTCTGGGTATGGTAGTGCATACCTGTAATTTCAGGAACTCATAAAGCTGATGCAGGAGGATTGAAAGTTCAAGGCTAGCTTTAGCAACTTAGCAAGGCTCTAAGCAACTTAGTGAGATCCTGTCTCAAAATAAGGAATAAAAAGGGCTAAAGAGGTAATGCCCTGGGTTCAGTCCCCAGTTCCAAAAAACAAACAAACAAAAAACTCTTTTTCATAAGTGTGGTGAATTACATTGTGGATTTTGAACACTGAATCAACATTGCATTCTTCAAAATCCACAATGTAATTTGCCACACTTATAGAATATACCATCTCAAGAGGATCATGTGATAATTTCAATAGATTCAGAAAACCTATTTTATATCATCCAAAATCCATTTGTGATTTTAGAGAAATTCTTGGAAAGGTAAGAATAAAAGATGTGATAGTTTTAAAATGTTTATTAATTCTGATACTTCTCCCATTGAAAAGTGGGATCTGTATCTCCTCCTCTTGAATTTGAATTGGTTTGTAATTCAACCGATTAACTATGGCAGAAATAACACAATGCTATTTCAAGGACGGGCCAACAAGAAAGAAAGAAAGAAAGAAAGAAAGAAAGAAAGAAAGAAAGAAAGAAAGAAAGAAAGAAAGAAAGAAAAGAAAAGCCAATAGCACCCATCTGGATTTGTTGTAACACTTGCTCTAAGAGAAGTAAATTGCCATGAAAGAAGAGCTACTCTAAGACTATCTGGTTAGAGGAGCAACATTAGGCAATAGCTTGACTGAGCTGTCTTCCAAAAGAGCCAGTATAGTTAACTATACAAGTGAGGGTTGTTGTTTTCTTTCTTTCTGTCTTTTTTCAGCTTGAACCCAAGGCCTCATGTCTGCTAAGCAGGAAGTGTACACTGAGCTATGCCCAGCCCAAGTGAGACATCTTGAATGTTGAGCCCTCAGATGACTACAGTCCCTGCTAACATCTGATTGTAATTGCTTAACAGATTTCAAGTGGTAATTATCATGTTGGGCCCTTTCCAAATTCCTGATCCATAAAATCAGAAACAAAATAAGATGATTAATGTTCTACAACCCTAAATTTGTAATTTGTTATATAGCAATGGTAATTGAAACAGGAGAGAATACCCTTACTCTGATAAAAGTTATCTACCAAATTTATGTCTAACATTACATTCAATGATGGAATATTGAACATTTCCCCTAGGCAGCTGGAAAAAAAAAAGAGGGGGGGTGTCTCTTCAACCACTTTTATTTAGCTTTTTATTGGCAGTCTTAGCTGGGGCAACATCAAGGAAAAGAAATAATAGAAATATTGAAATGAAAAAGAAAAAAACATCCTTCATTCACTTCATTCACAGAATAAATGCATATGAAAAAAACAAAGGAATCTATTAAAAAATAAGAATTGATTAATGAATTTCATAATGTGGCTGGAATAAAAATCCATTATTTAAAAAATATGTCATATTTCTATGTGAGCAACAGGTAGAAAATTAAATGTTAAAAAATTAATATTTTGCATAACACAAAATATCAAATATTTATAAATAAATCTAACAAAATATATAGAATACTAAAAGACTGAAATCTATAAAACATTGCCAGGATAAATTTCAGAGAGCTGAATAGAGATAGTCTATGTTAGAAGATAGGCAGGCTCAATTTTAAGAGATCATTTATTCCTAAATTAATTATACAGCTAATGAAATACCAACAAAATTACAGCAGATCACTGGGGGAAATAAATAAACTGATTCAAAAGTATATATGGATATGCAAAGGATCTACTATGCTTAAAAAGAACACAGTTAGAGGATTTGACCTACCAAACTTTAAACTACAATAATTAAACCAAGGTGACACCAGAATTGCTAAATGCACCAATAGAGAAAATTAAAAAGTCAGAAAGACCAACAGAGTTACTGATAAATGAATAGGAGTCAGTATCCTGGGCTCTCTTATTTTGACATGTTTAAATTTTTCATAGTTACAGGTTTTTAAATTGAGTATAAAAGCAAAATAACAGCAAGAAGAAAAGAACAAATTATCAAATGAACATTAAGATAAGGAATACTAGATGAAGGAGGGGACAAAGTCCTCAATGACATCTCTGGGGTAAATATACTGCTAGAGTTTATAAAGATGCTGCTCAGTAATTTCATGAGGGAATCATTAAGATTCATGTTTTTTTAATTCTTCTAATATACCCTAATTTGTTATCTTTGAATGCAAAATTAAATCCAGTTCATTTAAAATTGGATTTTTAAATAATTAACGTAAACTGTATCTCTGGATCCCCAAACTTGTTATGTACCCAAAAGTTTGGACTGGATCAAGAAAATTTAATAACTTCAAAATTTGTCTTTGCTTTTCTCCATGTTTACACATACCTGGTTCCTGTGTTTCCCATCTTGCTGTAAATCCTCTTCCATTACTCAAATGGTCAGCATAGAGATGAAAATAGAGAGCATTGTCACTGCTGAGGATTTCCTGAGGGGGTCTGGAGCCACAGAATCTTCCAAGCGGAAAGGCTGCAGAGGAATCTCCATCATGAATCTGAAGAAACTCATGTGGGCAATCATTCACCGATTCTAATTGGAAAAAAATCAAAGTGATACGCAGGACCTAAAAAATAGAAAAACCATAATATATTATTTTCATGTCCATTATTTTAGAATTCATCTCCCATTTCTTAACTATGCCTCAATATGTATAGAGTATTTCTACAAATTAAATGACTTGTGTTAAGAATTGCTAAGACCGAACTTCAATTAATATCAAGATATATAAAAAGATCTTTGAGGAATGCTAGTCTCCTTGATTTGATCATTGCACATTGTATACAAATATCAAATTATCATACAGTACTCCATAAATATGTATAATGCTATGTATCAATTAAAAGAAATAGATTCACTTAGATTTCATTAAACTGGCAAATACATCAAATAAAATCACTTTGAATGTATGTCTGACAGGGTTGCTAAATCAGTGTAATGAACTGTCTATTTGAAAAATATATGAGTTTCGTTTAACTAATATTGCTATGCTTAAGAATGTATATTGTGACCCTCTGAATGACCTACACATACATTCTTCCTTCCCCATCAAGGATGAAGAGACCGTGGGAGTCTCAGACACATAGCCCAGACTGATGTACTTAGGCATAGGCTGAATAGGCACAGGGCAGATGTGCATAGAGTCTGTGAGTCCTCAGGGGTTGGATATCAATAAAGGATGAACAATGCCAACAGTAAAGAATGGAAATAAGGTAATAGGAAAAGCACTGAGTATGCAAGTAGAAAAGAATAACATGAAAATGTATCTCTGAAGTAAACTGTTAGAATGCACAGACTTCAAATATAGTAATATAAAGAATAAAACACAAGATTTTGTATGGACAACCTCATTTAAAACAAGTAACCAAAAAAGACTGCTTAATTTTCATCAGAGCTTAAAATCAAAGTGTTCAGCTAGTAAATAAGAATTTCAGGAGATTTTTGAAATTCTATGTAAGAGCATTTTAAAGATATTATCCATCATTACATCATTTCATGCAGTGAGACAATTTAAATGATAAATAAATGTTAATTTACTGAATTATTCTGATTTGTACCTATTTTCTGCTACAATTAGATACATTATTATGAAAGAAAAAATATAAAACTACAACAATCAGGAAAAAACCAGGATAATTTTTCTTACAAATTGGTAATAAACATACTTAAAATTTTTCACATAAGAACTTCTCCTTGAAAAAAAAAGTCTTTTCAATGTCAGGAAATAGAATTAATGAAAACTAAATGGAAGGAAGGAAATTCACATAACATACTTACTGGGAAATTTGTTTTGGAATTTATTCTATTGTGGAGTTACCAGACCCTAAAGAAACCTCCCTCCACAAGGGAAAATAACATTTCTGACCCCTTTACAATGTCCTCTGTGATACTAGTCTGCTAGAAAATGTAAACAGAATTTCAAGGGAAAATCTTACCTATGCAGACATATCATTTTCCTTTAATGAGTCCAAGAGTTGATTGAGAAATAAATACTTAATTAGTAATTAATGTTGGATATAATAGCACAGAAAACTTGGGCTCAGATCTTTATTTTAAGAGTTAAGTATTCACATAGCTTCTTAGGGTTACAAGCTTTGGAGACCCAATGGCCTGGGGTTGAGTCACCACAAGCCACTTACAAACCACGTGGTCCTGGTTGAATTTCTCAACTGCTCAAGGCTGCATTTCCTCATATGTAAAATGAAGCTAGTAGTTCCTATCTTTAGGGTTCTGGAAGTTAAAAATGCTGTGATGTATGTGAATAGCATAGTACTTGGAACAGAGACATTTTATTTAAAAAATAGGTCATCTTAATGGCTTGTGATGGATATTGCATAATAATCAATATACTAATATGAGTGGTCATCTTCAAACAACATTGTCTCAGTAACAACTAGACTTTATAAATTAACTACTAGCTTGCAGTTAGTCATCCAATGTAGAGAACCATTCATTCCTAAAGCATGGATTTTGGAACCAGACAAACTTGACTTTGAAATTCAACCATTCCCAATTACAAGCTAAGCAGTGTTGGGGGTGGGAGAACTTCACATTGCTTCCCTTACTTTTTGTCGTTTCATCTACAAAATGAGGATATTATTACTTATTTCAAAGAGTTAGTGTATGATGAGAGAAAGGTTGGGAAATATCTAGCACAAAGCCTGGCATTGAGTAAAAACTCAATATATGACATTTGAATTATCATTATGTATATTTTATGCAATATATATTCAAATATTATTGTGCATATTCTAATATGCAAATGAAACTGTATTTACCTTTCCCTCTTCAGTTCGGATAACCCAGAAGCAGTTAACATTATGAACATAACCATCATCGGGGCTCTTGTAGCTGATTGTTCCATTCATCTCTGAGAGCGATCCTCCACAAACTACAAAGGAGAAGATGAAGAACTGTGCTTTTAAGAAACTCCTAAAAGAAAGAGTCTAGGTAACTCTGGCCTGTTGTTCCATTCCCTTTTCTCTGTCCCCTCTTCTGTTGACTCCCAAACTCCATCTTTTATTCAAAGTCTAATTTAAATATACCATCACTTCTCCAAGAACCTTCTCCATGAACCTTGGAGAACCTTGACTAGTTTACCTCTATGAAACTTGACTTAGCCTCACACAGTTTAGTTCATAGCTTTAGTTCTGGTATGTTTTCCGCCATTTGGGTTAGTCATGTATCCTCAACTAGAAGGTAAGCAGAAACAAGTGGAGACAATGTTTTATTCTCCTATATTTTTCAACTGGGATCACCAGGGTGCTAAACACATGGTAACATCTCATCAATGTGTCGATACAGAATTAGGAGTAATAAGTGAGGGATGGAGCAGTCAGAAGAGACTTTATGAAGGAATTATTATGGAAGAAATTCGAGGAGGCTTGTGAAAAGAAACATCACAAATTAAAAAAAAAAGTGGAAATACTCAAATAGCACATGGTTAGGCAGCCAGAGTGATGTCTGGTTTAAACAAAAGTATTTCTAGGGAAGCAGTGAAAAATAAGTTTAGATGGATAGGGTGAAGGCTGGTTTTAGAAGATAATTGGAAAACATCCCCAATTTCTACTTAACAGCAATGAGAAACCAGTGCATATTCCAGCGCAGGAAGGGGATGTGATTACATGTAGTATTTTAAGGAAATCTGATGACTGCTACATGAAAAATATTCCCTTAGAAAACTAAAATACCTTAGCTTATATTTTTTTGATTCAGAAAGGGCAGAACAAAATGGTAAATATTAATTTAATACTTTTAAAGAAAAATTCTTATGATTTAAATTGGGATACATAAATATTTGCCTCATAAATTCTATGTCACCCCTACATAGAAAGAGTTAGTTCTGAGCAACTGGAGAAGAACATTGGCTCATTCAGAGAATCTTCAGAAGGACTTGTGATACTTCTAAGCTGGGAGTACATGTGGTATAAGAAGTGGTGACGATACCTTGCTGGGGAATCTGACAGTGAGATCCAGTCCAGGAACTTGTGCATTCACAACTAAAAGCATTAATGCCGTCAATACAAGTTCCCCCATTCTGACAGGGGTTACTGGAACACTCATTGATGTTTTCTGTGCAGTTGACACCAGCCCAACCCGGGTCACACCGACAAAAATAACTAGATACTGTGTCCTAAGGAGTCAGAAAAAAAAGCACAATACCATAAAACAAATGGATATGCCACAAAATGAAATCAACCAAAATAACAAAGAAAAGTGACACTACTAAATATACTCAACAGGACTTGAACCATATTAAGTATTTTCCAGTAGCCCAACTTGTAATTAGTTAGTTTAAATGACAATTGCTAAGTATAAGTACTCATATTTATCTGGACCAACTGTAGGCTTTGTAAGTCACTGTAATAAAAAATAAACTGTTTTTCCTGGGAACTAAAGCTACTACCTACCTTTTATCCAAGTGTTATTCAAGTTTCCTTATCTTAATCTTCAAGCATTGTCTTGAAACTAATATAAAAATTTGTTTTCTAGAAGTGAAACTAAAATTATTTTCAATCACTCTATTTCCCCACAAAGAACAAAGGACTCACTATGCATTGTCCATGTAAGCAGGGTTGACTTAGGCAAATATTACTGAGTTGCACACATCCGTTTGGTCCATAACCATTTCCAGTATATCCTGGGAGACAGGTGCAAAGAGGTAATGAACCTGTTCAGAAATAAAAATTTAAGTGTAAATATAGGCATCCTCCCCAATTAAAGTGCAATGATAAACTCAGATCCTGATGTCTAGATAAGAATCCACCAATGTCAAGTTTATATATTCCTATGGACAAAGAAGAAAATATTATAATCTTTATTTTTCTGTTTTTTGAATTAAAATTTTAAAAAAATCATTAAATGTTTCCAATGCTCTATATGCATTAGCACTAGTACTGTCATTTCACATACCTGATTGTTCTGTGTACAGATGAGAGATATGCAAGAGAAGATGGGAGTTCCTCATGGTGGAGGGGTCATCAGAAGACAATAAGAGGCCTCTGATCATTTCTGTTAAAACCACTAATATACTCCTCCCAATAGCCTATAACAGGTGCTACTGTATTTATTTACAAGTTCACAAATGAGAACAGAGCACAGACAGGTTGACTTGACCAAGGATACACAACTCAAATATGTAGGAGCCAGGAGCACCTGTACATGGAAGGTGCCTACAGCACATTGCACAGCAGTAGAATTAGAATGGGAGGTTCACATATTCCCAGTTATGTGGACATTCAGATTTTATGCTGCCAGTTTTACCCAGGCAATTCATCACTAAATGAATTTGAGGCTTTAAAGAAATTTTGCAGTGAAACTGCAGATTGAAGGTTAATACAATAACATAGGTAAGTGGGAAATCATCAAAAACTTCTGCTACACTTATTTTTCCCTCTAATTTAATATTTTTTCAGTTGTAGATGGACACAACACCTCCATTTATTTTTATGTGGTGCTGAAGATGGAACCCAGCGCCCCACACATTCCAGACGAGCGCTCTGCCACTGAGTCCCAGCCCCAGCCCTCTCCCACACTTCTTAATGAGTTCTTCATTTCCATGTTACAAAACAAAAACAATGACAAACTAATGGTCTGGGGATTAAACTTAGTCAAAAGGACTTGGAATGATTAAATCTATTTTAATATGAATCAATATTCACTGTTAATTATGATGTATATGGGATAATAGCTAAAGACAGTGTGAGAGTACCATAGGATCTTCATGCTACCACTTTTTTTTAATAATACTTATCCTAGTATTTTAGAAAATTTTACTAAATTTCATGCCCAGAGATTTTCAGATTTCTTATTTACCAGCAAAAAGTCATATCTCATTGAAGAAAACACATGTTCTTTCCATTGTTGTAAAATGGTTGAAATAATACATGGAAATCAATATGGCAATTAACTTAAACATATTCCTCCCTTAGCAAATACTATTGAGACAAATAGAAAACCTTGCTGAAGAATTAAAGAAACAAATAGAATAAATTCTGCAATATAACAGATTTATAACAGAATAGTTGATGATATAAATGTGTTTCAGTCTCACCTTATATTATTTGCAAGATTGTTTTAATAATAAAACATTTATCTTTTTAAAAATAATTGCCAAGGAATATATTCTTCATAGTTAATTATTTTAAAAAAATATTTACAGAAGGGAAATAAGTAACTCCAATGCTGCTGCAGCTTTGCCTGGACATGTTTTAAGGTTCCTGGGATAAACCTATGGGCTGCAGTGAAGAAAATCAATTTAATTGGGTGTGGTGACACATGCCTGTAATTCCAGCTCTTTGGGAAGCTGAGGCATGAGGATCACAAGTTCAAGGTCAGCCTGAGCAACTTAGCAAAAGCCTGTCTCAAAAACGTTAAAAAATAAATAAGAACTTCTAGGAATACAGCTCAGTAATAGAGCGCTCCTGGGTTCAATCCCCAGTACTGGAAAAAAAAATATGTAAAGTGCTACTTGGGGTCATTCACTATATGACTGTCTTCTATATGAAAAAGGAGATACATTTGTATCTGTTTTAAGCACATGATATGTATAGACTCATTTAATCCTTCAAAGAGCCCTGCAAGGTAGGTACTGTGATTATCCCATTTCACAGAAGAACTAAAGCACACAGAGATTAAATGTCCTGATGAAGGGAACACAATTAGAATATGGTAAAGCCAGGGAGAAATACAAGTCAACAAATTATGCTTCTAAACACATCAGCATGCTGTTTGCCATCTAAAGAGCATTTAGTTGCAAGTATATGTGTATACATATACATATATATACCAATACACACACACACATATATTCTTATATTATGCACACGTATGACAAGTTAATTAAAAAATAAAAGTAATATTTTGAAATAGCAAGAAATATAGCATATTATTCAATAAATACTTCCATGCATTTGGACAAAAATATCAAGGTCAATTTCTATTTAATATCATAAATATACAAGTTCTAAAAAGATCAAAGATCTTAATGCAGAAAAAATATCAAAGTATAAAAGAACATGTACCTATTTTTAAAGTCTCAGTAAGATAGGTCTTCCTAAATATGAAACCAACAAGAGAAATAATAAAAGGTTTATTTTTAAAACTATACAAAAATTTTAAACTTCTTATATAGAAAATACCACCACAAAATTAAGAGAACAGCATGCTAAAAAAATACTTGTAAAACATAAGACAGATAATGAGATCATGAACCTAGTACATAATGAAATTTTACAAATCAATAAGAAAGCAAATGAGAAAAAGATATGAACAAACTAGAAAAGGGGCTAGTAAAATATGAAAATTATTGATATTAAGAATAAAAAGACCTTGATAAAAACTAATTTTGTTTATACAATTGACCAAGATGAAAAAATGGTAATATCTATTATTGTTAAAGGTAAAGTAAATATATATATTTTCATACAGTAAACATATTTTATGTACTATTTGTTATTATATACAATAATACAATATCTCTCAGAGATATTATTATAGCAGGTGAATCTTCTTTTATGCAACACTAGAGACACTGGATCATACTAGATCCATTTTCCCCTTATTTCAGCTGATTCACAAGGCCTGAAACAAAGACATTTCCCAGACTTTCTTTGCAGCCAGGGTCAGCCATACGGCTCAATTCTAGCTAATGGCAGAGAAACGGAAGAGTCCTTTAAAGGGAAGTGGAATTTCATTCTTCCTCCATTCCTCTTTCCTGCTTGCTGAAATATAGTCATGAATAATTAGGTGGCTTAATTACCTTGGGAAATAATTCCTAAATTAAAATAGATCATTAAAGCTTTATTATATTTTTTAAAAATCCAAGCATGTGGTTTCATTATGTGGATTAATTTTGGATTTGATGCTCAAGAATCAAAATAAGAATTTTGTGGACAAAAGATCTTATTTTTTCAAATGTTGAATTGATTTGGAGGGTCATAGTAAAATACCCAATGACAAAGAGAGAAAGAGATGAGTCATTACCTAGAGCTGAGGAGCAGGATGCATCTGGGTGGCAGCCTCCATTATTGATCAAGCAGATGTCTATGGGAGTGCACACTCTTCCATCACCTACATACCCTGATCAAAGCAGAGCAGGGTGTGAGAAAGAATGCCAATCTTAGAATCAGATACCCTAAGTCACCAAGTAGAAATCCTCTGGCATCAAAGATATAAAAATGAAGTGTCAAAAATAAAATACTATAATTGAGAAAAAGAGTGACAAATTATAAATGATGTTCTAGGTTGACTCTAATGAAAAAATTATATATATATATGTGTGTGTGTGTGTGTGTGCGTATATATATATACATATATATGTGTATATATATGTAATATATAGTTTATATATAAAATATAGTTTTCTCTTCTTGAAACTTATTCTATGATAAAACTGGTTAGTTTTATCACCATACACACACATACACACACACTCACACACACATATATTATACACACACACACACACATATATATATATATATATATATATATATATCAATGAAACTACTGGTAGACCTAGAAATATTGTTGTTTCATGTTATTAGAAGTTGCAAAATTTCAGTTTATTCCTTAAAACTCTCTGAACTTCTTGGATACTAATTTAGTTCAGGTGAAAGAGTAGCAATAATAACTTCTTTCCAGGAAAAAAAAAAAAACTAACATGGATTCCATGCCTGTGGTTTAGCAAACCTCACATGTAAACCATCCCATTAGTATACTATATTAATAAATTACATGTGAGAACAATACAGAAGATCTGAGATCTACACAAAAAAAAAATCAAATTCTGCTTTATCTCAGTGACAATTTCATCACTTTTAAAGACTTCCTTCCTGTTTTCTACTGATACTAATTTAAAAAAAAAATCTTTCTATAGTTGTACTTATCGAATTTGTCCTAAAACACTAAGTTAGATGAAATGTTCTGTACTATTCAGTTTCTGTTGTTGGATAGAAATCATATTTAAAATACTGTATAAGATTCTGCTTTCAAATGTATGTGTTGGTAGAAATGACAGCAGGAAATCTAGTGCAGTACCTGGTGGACAGCTTTCACAGTTGAAAGATCCCGGTGTATTCACACACCCAACAAGTGGAACCAAAGAACAGCCACCATTGTTGATCTCACATTCATTGATATCTTGACAATCATATCCATTTCCTTGCCAGCCTAGAAAAACAAGAAGATGTGAAAGGTTAGCTCTATACATAAGTCAACAATGAAGAAATACAAAGATTTAAAGCATTAAAAATCTACTAAAAGAACAAAAAATATTAAAATGACATGTACCTGTCAGATTGCCAAAAAAAAAAGTTTAAATTCTTAGAATCAAATTCTGGCAGAGTATGTATTCTTACATACTGCAAGTTGGATATTTAATTAATATAACCAATTTGAAAAAAGATCTGACAGTATTCATTAAAAATTTTAAAAATATATATCATTTGACTAAAAATTTTTCTTGAAACTTATTCTGTAATGATAAAACTACCCAGTATATTAAAATGTAGGTAAGAAGATATCCATTTCAGCATGTTTAATAGGGAAAAAATCAGTGGTCAATAGGGACATTGCTGAATTTCTCATGACTCATCTGTACCACTTACTACTAAAAATGATTTTAATAGCAGACATGCCCCATATCACTTACATGTGCACACTCACATTGAAATAAATTTTTGATGCATATTGTAATTGAAAATAATTAATTTAATATTAATATGCAGAGTTGGAATCCTACTCCCAATTTAAGGAAACAACAATATGAAAACCTGTATGTGTTTTTCAGTGTTTCTAAGGAAAATGGATGGATAACTAATTTTATTGAAGGTGAAGAGAGAGAATATTATTTCGGTTTAGTCATTCCTGTTTTGTTTCATTTTGATAACAAGTTTGTATTATTCTTATAATTCAAGTTATTAAAATTATAATAATGTTTAAAATTTTAAGCTTTATATCCTTGGGTCTATGTAAAAGTCTCCTCTAAGAATCCTGATTACTTATAAACTACAGAATTTGGGGAAACTTAGTAAAACAGGACATTCAACTAATTCCAACACCTCCTATGAATGATCTTCGTATTGCATGTCAGTAGTAGAAGGAAATTGGTTCTGGTGTCTTATTTAACTTCTCCAAGCCTTAAGTTTTTCTATTTAAAAATGTGAATAATACTAATTCTACCATGACTTGTTTTTGTTGTGGTTGCAAGAATGAAAACAATAATTTCTTACCTTTACACAGTGTCATAATGATTCTTTCATAAAAGAATGGCTGCTATGATGATAATCTGGTCTCTACTTTCTAAGAACATCCAGGGAGAGAAGCCTTGTAAACTCCCTGCAGCCTGGTGAATGGCTTCCAGAGCACCCAGCACTGAGTTTTGCTCATAGTAGATGCCCTACCAATATCGTGTTGAGTGGGTGATGATCTCGTACAGTTACAGAGGGAGCTTGGAGGAAAGAACCCATGTTTTCAGCAATTCAACATATGGCCTTTCCTGGAGATTGGTGTCTGTGGGGTTATGATAGAGCTGAGCATCCTTATTTATATGAAGGTCATAGGGTACTCAAAGGACACACTCAGGCAAGAACTACTGGACTTTAGTGTAGACAAAGAATCACTCAAGTTTGCAAACATTGGATTGGTATGAAAAATAGGACTATGTATTTGTTTCTTGACCACAATTCTAGTTAATTGATGGTCTTGGCAATAGAAGGTTAGAACTTTTAAACTCTATGGCTAATGCTGGCCCAAAATTTGACTCTAGCCATATTTTGGAGACAAATTCCACCTCTATTATACAAAGGTTATAGTAGTATGATAGTCTCAAGCAGAAGTTAGTAAAACAGGACATTCAACTAGATTCCAACACCTCCTATGAATGGTCCTCATATTGCACATCAGCAGGGGAAGGAAATTGGTTCTGGTGCCTTTCCTGCCTGGCATGGAGACCTAGCTTGTGGTCCTGAGAATGTACCTGTTGGACAGGCTCCACAATAGAAAGAGCCAGGAGTGTTGAAGCACTGTGCAAGTTCCGAACAAGGCGAAGGCTGGAAGCTACACTCATCTTTATCCTGTGTGCAGGAGATACCGTTCGACCCAGTTGTCCACCCAGCTTCGCAGATGCAGGTGAAGTTGGCCTGGCACGAGGACAACAGAGTAAACCGAGACAATCAGGAAAAGGAGCAAGAGAAGTCTTTGAAAATCTCACCAACCCCCAACTGTTTATGGTCTAACATTCATTTCCATCAAGCCAATTGAATGGCTTTTCTTTTTCTTCCCCTGTGATTTCAGCATTTAGACTAGACCATGGGGAAAAAAGGGGGCGGGGACATCATTAATTCAGAGTAAGAGACTCCTATAATTTATCTTTTTTCTTGCCAGGAAAAGAGCAACAACAATCAAGAACAGCAAGTCAATATAATTAAAGTCAATGTACTCACCCTGCTATGATTTTTAGAAGGAAAAACACCCATATAGACATAGACCTTGGAAAATTCAATTCTATTGTTTTCTTTTTGAAAATCTATTCTTTCCTTCCCATCCTCCCCTCGACCCACTCCTCCCCTACCATTCCACCATTGGAAAAAAACCCATTTTACATCATATGAACAGGAAAAATAATAGAACTTTTAAGTTCCAAAGTTCTTCTTAACAGCCAAACTGGCCAGGATTGGGCGAGCTTGTGGGCCAGGAGCTATGGTCCCCAGGACCAGGCAGAGAGGAATATCAGAGAAGAAGACTCATGGAATCTGCAGCATTTAGAGGAGCTCAGGGCCAGAAAAATCCACACTCAAAATTACATGCTGCTGACAAAACCAATCCTTTTTGTGTTTTCATGTCTTGTCATTGTTAAAACACACAAGGCCAAGGGAAGGTAAAGACTCAGAGAGACGCATAAAGGAATCATAAAAATTTAATATTTTATATAATGAAATCTTAAATATCTGGCTCCAGTTTTCTGAATATGGCATTTTCTCTCCCTGCCTGTGCCCTATTAATGTGCAGGGAATGACTTCCTGTCTGCAGTTCTATTGGGCAGTTGTCCTGCACAGTCAGTACAGGAAGGAGAAGTAACAGTCATAAGTCCCACAAGGAGTTATATTTGGGAAAGGGACCCACCACTCCAGGTCGCTCTCGGTCCAAATCTTCACAGATGCCGTGGCCACAGTGCTTCTGAGAGCCCCCTTCGCAGTCATTATATTTGAAGGCACACTGGGGTCCATATGTTTCAGGTGTGCATATACAACTGTCGGTAACACAAGAATGTAATAACAGGGTTTGTGCTTAAAGGCTAATGTCTATCTCTTAGCATCAATTTAGAAAAAAACACTCAAATTGCAAATTGATGATATTAACATGGAATCCTAATGCAGCAATGTAGATTGACAGGCTGGAACTCTGGGAGAAAAATCACTGTTCTGCTCTAGGCAAAGATTTATTAAATGTATTATCTTCACAAATAAAGTATTAGAGATTCGTGACTTAATATCTCAAAAGGCTACCTCTACAATTCTTCTACTATCAAGTCATCAAACAGCACTTTCAAAGGTCAGACATCTATAAACCATGGGTGATAAAGGGAAAGGGAAAGAGGGAGATCAGCAAGTTCATTCATCATTCATTCTGCTGGACCTTCCACTAAGCCCAGGTGACACTGACAAAACCAATGACTCCAGAATGCTCTCCAGGTGGGTAAAACCCTGCATGCCATATGATATCCATATCTGAGTCTATGATGATTAATCTCATATTACAAAGCATGATAAGTCTTCTATCCATAAAAGGTGTAGTCAACATGGTGACATTTCTTTCATAGTCACATTTTAACTCACAACAAAATGTAATTATTATATATGATACCCAAGGGCATTTTGTTACTAGAAGATTTCAGACCAATGATGATCAAATAAGGAAAGTTGTTGAAGACATTATCGTTCTTCAGGTGGCTGAGTCAACTTTATATTTGCACTGCTGCCTTAAAGGGAAGTGGTAAGGTAGAAACGTGGGAAGAGAAAGGGACAGAGGAGTCACAGAAGCCTAAGTTTATTCACACCACCTGAACACATTTGAAGGAATGGAGGAGCCCAGAGGTCACCATTTGTCAGACTCCAGCAGCATTGGCAGAGCAAGCCCTCCTGAAAAGAATTGACCCTCTGTATCAGGGGACATAGATAAGGAAGAGGGGGACCTGCATGGCCTTGCTTGCCTCCCATGCCTGGCAACAGGGTCTAGTTTCTGAGTCTTCTGGAAAAGGGGCCATTCTACAAGGTAAAGAAACCCTTTCAACAATGCCCACTGAGGTTCAAGGAGCTCAGCTAAAATCTACAGATGACTTGGGAATCACATGACAGGAAATCAGCTTGGCTGTTTGAGAGGATCAAGAGCCACACCCTGGTGACAGGATGTGGCATGTGCATGATGGGCACCAGAAACAATTGCTGTGGTGATATCCGTGGTCAGTTCCTAAGGAAGAAGCAATCAGAGAACATGGCCAGATAGTAAGATAGTGGCAAACGGTTTCCACGAACTCACATGTAGGGTTACCAGGCTTAGCAAATAAAAATTGAGGATGTCTCGTTAAATTTTTCAATTGCAGATAAATGAATATTTTTTTGTAGAAATGTGAGCCATGAAATTTGCAACATCGTATATATTTATATGAAAGCTATTTCATTAATAAATCACATTTACCAGTATTACAAGAGTGCTTTTTCTCATTTAAGACCAGATCATGGATGAATCACAATAAATGATTAAACTCAAGGAGAAATTCAGTTCTTTCCTTACCTAGAGCTACCTATCTTCCCCTCATCTTTTTTCTAGACTTTTCCTCATGTGTTCTCTTCCCATTTTTCTTCTCTTTCTGGTACATCCATAGAAAATGCTTACCGAGAACTTAATTAGATTTAGGGGGATTGCAGAACTTTTACATTTCATACACATTTGAGCATTTAATCAAACTGCCTTTATTACTAAAACTCTATTTCCACACACACCACATACCTGCAAAATTGTTTAAAAGATCTTAAAACCAATGATTACTAGCTTTCTGAATCTAGTTTCTTTCTCTCTCTCTTTTTTTTCTTTCTTTTTCTCTTCCTTGCTAAGTCTTTTTTCTGGATATGAGAGTCTGTTTGGGAACCTCTGGGACACACAGTACACAGAGTGTACTAATCACACATGAGCACTATGTTCACGCCGGATTCTAAAGGCATTCTTTTTTTTTTTTTTTTAGCTCATGAGAGGCTATTTATTTATTTATTTATTTAAAAATTTTTAAATTTGTTACACATGACAGTACAATGACCTTGACATATCATACATTTGAATCAGATGGGATATAATTTCTCATTTTTGCATTCCTCTATAGGAAGTGCTCAGAATTTGTGTTTATCTTATCTCTGAGCACTTAACCACAGGTAAATGAGGAAATTGTGGTCCATGGACCTGCAGTTGAATCCTCTTTTTCTCCTCCTCCTCTCTCCTTCTCCCTATTGTAGTGGGGACATGAGTGAATCTTAACTCTGTACTCTCCTTTAACCGGCTACAAAGTAGACCTCTTTCATTTAAATTTAAATAACATAAGAAGACAGGAGGGAGAAGGGAAGCCAACCAGACTATAAGCTTCCCCACTGTGATCTCAAGACAAGTACTTTAAATCCCATTTTAGACACATGCTGCCTATTGCCACGAAATTGACTATTGATAGAAGATAAACTAAAACCCAGGTGTGTGTTACTCCTGCACCATTGTTTTTCCCTGTTACATTTCCCTGTTCTGAAGGTAAAGTTAGTATGAAGACTTTGCATGTGTATGTCTTTTTAACATAAAAGTTTTGAATGTAAAATGTATTTTTCAAGGAGAACTGATACAGCCTTTAAAGAAAAAGAATAATTATATACTTCCTACATGAAAATAAAATCCATGTGTATATTTTAAAATGACCCCAATACTACTCCTGTCTTAGTTATTAGTTACTAATTAGTTACTGAGGTCACCTTTGTAATAACCTTTTATCACCAACTTGGTTCCAGCAGAATAAAGCTAGGCTTTTCGGACTTCAGAAACATTACAAGTGCATTTGGCAATTGAGATAATGTCAAAGATGCTTCCATAGTCATAGTTTAATTTACGTTAGAGTCCATGGTTCAATATCAATATACTGACTAACTGAAAGAGATAATAAGTTTAATACTTAACTACCACCTGAGTTAAAACCTGATTATCCTTATCGTCTAAGCTTGGCATATTTTAAAATCCACCATTGATATGAATGAAAAGAAAATATACTAAGCATCATCACATTCCTGGAGAACAAATGCAAATTGTTTTATGTTTTGCTTTTTCCTAAAAAGCCTTTCAGATCTGAACCCTAAGTATATAACATCCACCATCCATGGGTGGCAAGTTCAGATCCCAAGGCTATCTTAAACACAAAGTAGGGAAATGATATGTATCAATTCTTCACAATAAAGAGGCCTTAACAATATGGAGAAGTAGCAAAATATTGTTCTGTTAGCTGTCTGAGGCAGTTGGGGGTAAGACCTCTAGAATGAGTAGGAATAGATGATGATTTTTCTTGTTCTTATTACTTTATAAAATAATTTTTACCAAAAACTTGTCTATGAAAAGACCTTCCAATTAATTAGTATTTGCACAGTGCTTTATCTTTTTAAAAAGTCTTTACAATTATGAACTATTAATCCTGTTAAATAAAAAACTCCATTTTTATCCCCAAGTAAAATCAGTTCTAAGAGTTAAAAACAAACAACAACAACAACAACAACAACAAAACCTTGAAGGAGGCCTCAAATCCAAAGCAAACTTTGTCCATCATGAGCACATTTTTGCAGATCCAGATTATTCAAAAGTGACTCAAGTTTTCCTTTGGCAAATGTGTTTTGAAGTTTCCCAGAGGGATTTCTAGTCTCAGTGAAACTACTGATTAATAAGGATTTAGCCTCACAAAGTTAATAGGACTAAAGAAAGCCTCTAAATGCTCTCTGTTTCATTACGTACAGATTACACAATGCAAGAATTAAATTTTATGCTCATGGATTTTTAAAAATATTATTCCTTCAAAAAGTCACCATGATATGCAGCCATTCGAGTGCTTAAGGCATAGGAAATCAACTGCGATTCCTGAGGCTTCACTAATCATCCTCATATCAAGAGCAAGAAACCAGATTTAAATGTTCTGCTTCCTGATGTCTTCCAGCAAATCTATGAAGGGCAAAGATTAAAAGCCAAAATCATTCCCAGAGCCAGCAGATGGAGGCCTTATGCTTTTTACTGCAAGGTACAAGAGATTTGGGACTGCTCTTGCAAAGTTGAGGCTTTAATTTAGAAATGCTGCTCTCAACAAATAAAATGGTTTCTCTCTCCCAACTCCCTTCCTGTCTCTCTCTGTTTCTCCGTCTCCTTCTCCTTCTCCCTCTCCCTTTCTCATATGTATGTATCTGGACATGCTATAAATAGCTATGAATGTTAAAGGTTTTTTTTTTCAATTTCTATTTTGCAGTGAAGACAAATAATGTGCTGAGAGCAACAAAAATAACAGCCTGCTTGGCTGATGGATTTTGTCCCCCTTGCACATCTTTATCACTTTATTGGCACACAAGATACCAAGACAGACAGTGACGATAAAGGAAGATCGGGAGTGAGATCTAATCTCCAGGACATTTCTAGATATTGGGAAGGCCAGAAAGTATAAGTTCTGGGAGTCAGGACAATTTGCCACTGATATCTCCAAGTAGCAATTCTCCTTGATAAATGCCCATAAATAGAAACGAAGAGATAATGCTTTCAAGGGAATGAAAGATAAGCCCAAGTCTGAACGTTTATAAAAGCAAGGGGCAAAGGAGCATTTAAATTAAAAGCCAAATTCTAAAAGCAAAGCTTTTAAAACAGTTCAATGGCTGTGCCTTCAAATTTCTAACACTCAGCTTGTCCTGTACCACCCTTTAGGGTCTTTAATAACCTGGTATTCAATTTAAGATAGGGGTTGATAATGTTATTTTTGCATAATGGTTGAACTCATAAACATATTACCAGAAGTGAATGCATTAATTTTAACCTGGAATGAGCAAAAGTTTTAAAGATCAGATTTAAAAAAAAAAAAAAGATTAGAATCTTTTTTTTTTTAAGAATCACTTAAATGAAAAGAGAAGAATGGTAACTGCTTTTGGATAAAATAAGGTCTTAATAGATGACAGGGATAAAAACTAGATTACAGGCTGGGATGGTGGTTCAGTGGCAGAGTGCTTCCCACTCTGGGTTCGATCCTCAGCATCTCATAAAAAATAAATAAAAAATAAATAAAGATATTGTGTCCATGTATAACTAAAAAAAAATATTTAAAAAAAAACTAAATTGCTACCCTCAATTTTTCTGGAAAGAATAGAATGGATATTTCTCCCAGGAAATTGAAGAGCAAGAGGAAGATACTAGGAAGAGAACAAACAATTGCTCTGGAGTCCAGTGAGATTGTACCCCATGTTGAAAGAATTTGTTCACATCCTAGCAGAACCCATTTCTTAACCTTTAAATACTCTTGGAAAACAGGAGACCAGTCAAAATATGGGGAAAGATAATATCTACAGATTATTTTAAAAAGTGATTTTAAGGAACTCCACACAAGGAAACTTGAGGATGATCTGCTGCAAAGTTCTGGCTTTGATTATTAAAAAGATGAATATGTGAACCATCATGGCTTTGATGACAACAGTCTAGAAGTGTGGTGGGAAAATGGGGCACTGTGATACCTAACTTGGTTTAGTAAAGGAACAGAAGTTTTCTGTGGAAGGCGATGCCTGAGCTGAGTGGGAGAATATTGTGGACAAGTCATTTGGCCAAATAAAAATTTTAAAAAAGAAAACCTAGGCCTGCTCGTGGATTCGGAGAGGGAACTGGTGGCTACATGAAGAAAGACATTGACTAATTAACACAGTTCAATGTTTGATCCTGTTTTGGTCAACATTTTTACCTAGTGTTGAATGAAGCTATGCTTACTAAAACCACAAACTCACTAATACAGGGAACCCTTCTTCCCATTCCTTAAGATGCTGGCGAAAGAACTTCTTCACAGGGTGAGAGTTGAGCATTCAGGAGCTTTGGTTGATCTAAATAAAAATAGCTATGTATTTCCCATGGAGTACCTAGTTTTACAG